TCAGTTATTATGACCTTGAAACTAGACCTCTACCCCGATATAACATTGTTCTCGGGAGCCAAAAAATCTTACTGCGTTATAGGAGAAAATGCGTTATATCAAACTTGCTTTGATCTGCCGGAGCGCACAGCCCCCCCCCCCCCCCCACGAGTGCTGCTTTACCGCGTTGTATCCAAATTCGTGTTATATTGGGTCCCTCTATATCAGGGTAGAGGTGTATTGAAATAATGGGACACCTGCACATGGAACAGGGGAGAACACGTCTGAGTTTCAAATGAAAAGTGATACTGGGGGGGCAAAACCTGGATGTCAGAAAGCTGACTTTGAAAAAGTAAAGTCTTCAGGAGTCTTTATCCTATATCTGAAACAATACTAATGAGTGACTGATAAGCTATGTACATGACATCACTGAAGTCTAATCAGGGAGGAGGGTGATATGCTAAAGGAAAGAGTAAGAGTAATAAGTCAGGAGGGACTCTTACCCTCTTTTAGAGTATAAGTGGGGTAAATAGCATTTTTTGTGGGTTTTTTTTTTGCTCTACTTCTAATTGAATAGTCTCTCAACAAGATTCTTGATAAGACTAAAATGAAAACTGGATTGCTAAAATACCGAGGAAGTAGAATATCCTGGGTAAAGAAGGGACAGATCTAGCAGTAGTTCACGGCTATCGCTACTGTAAAGGGGATGCAGGTCCCAAGAGACTGTTCCTTGTTGCTAGGTAGTAAGTAGATCTAAAATGGACAAAATACCAGATAAGGGCCTCCCAGCCTCTTTTGAGAAGAGTAAACATTTATATTTAAGTTCTAAAACCTCAATGGGATTCCCAAGCACTGTAAAATATTATCAATAACTTGGACAACTATGTGTTGGTGAAATTTTAAGGAAGGTATACCATAATGACTCAGCATTGCAGGTTCCATGGGAGTCTGCAGGATAATCTAATCATATGTAGAGGATAAAATATCAAAGTGGCAGGGGAGGAGGGCAGCAGTGGGAAAATCACTTGTGAAGAATGGTATATAAGTGAACAGTAATATCACAGGATACAAAGCAAATACCAAGAGACTGGGATTATAGGGGACACGAAGTTCAGTGCTGGTTTACTGCTACAGTGAACATTATAGAAATGATAAATGAAGTCCAAGCAAAACAGGTTCCTCCCCCCACCCCCGTTCTTTTTAAAGTTGGCACCTGACTTAGCCAACCAGAAGGGTTTAGGCCAAATATGGAGGCTTGAGGTAAAATGCCCGAGAATATACACTATTACTTCCAAATAAGCATGTGTGTCTTGGAGATTCTCTGTATGCACAAATAGTCAGTTTCATAATCTATATGATGGCTAAACTATGAATGAGGGACATGCTTAACTGGATATTTATGTAGAATGACAAATGATTCCTTCCTTCCCACTCTCTATACACTAGAGGAGCTCAGTCCCAAGTCAGAGCCTGTGACTAGGAGCAGAACTCCTGAGTCCTAATCCCTGCCCTTGTGGCCTTAGGCAAGCTATGTAACTTCACTGCTTATTAAAGGGTGGTAATACTTTACACTCCATGTACTTCAAATACCACTTCTTACAGTAACCCTTTGAAGTATTGTGAATTGGAAATATAAAATTCAGATAGTTAATGCTATAAATCTCTACTACAGGTAGCAAATGGCCTTGGCATATTACACTGGGGGCTGATTGTAAATGGCAGTCTTATACTTGGCAAAATATACTGACTGCATACACAGTTAGAACTCTTATCAAAACTCATAATTCAGAATCCTGAAATCTGACTTCAGCATACAATTTATGTATGCATAAAGTCTCTTCTTTTACAGCTCTTCACTTCCAAAACACCATAGTGAAGAGGCTGCCAGTGCTTAAACACAGCATGAACACCTTTTTGAATGAATGACCCACAGTGCACATGTTAGTTTGTTACCTGGGCATATTTAGATACTATGCTTTCATGTACAGCATGGGATGTAGGAGGGTCCTCCCTTGAATTGCCACTAGTGCATTTCTGTCTGAATGACTTCCCAGATGTCTTCACACCTGTTGGCTTTCTGCCTTACGTTTTCAGTCTTTTGAAGCAAACATGGGTCTGTCAGGACTAGCCCAGAATTACAGCAGTGCGTTTCAGCATTGCATTAGTAACAATTTAATAATTGGGAGTACAGAAGTGATCCCTGAGGCATCTTTAGAGATCTCAGCTAAGAGTACTGGACCACCAACAACAAATGTAATGTTATCCGTTACATACCTAATGTATGGTTTAGTGAGTGTCTCACTTCAGTTGTAGCCAGCTCTGATCAACCAGATCAAAACATATTTAATAGCGTATACATGACACCAACAGTATGACCTGTTCATTGCCTTGGTGACTTTAGTCTCACCTTAAAAGCACTGCTGGAATGGATTGGAATAATGTCAGTTGTGATATCCCTGGTGTTTTGGTTCTAGGGCAGTTTTTATTCACTTCTAGTACAATCAGAATGGGGTGTTAGTGTCAATCTCATTCAGTCAGAAAGGGAATCGTATTAGTTTAATTGACGCTTTTAAGAGATTAGCAATAAGATTCAAAAAGTCCATAAGTTAAGCTACTAGTTGAGATAGTGAGACTTGCAGTTTGCTATACTTGGAAGCATTTGGCTCTGTATCTGACTATTTACATATTCATAAAAATTAGAATTTGCTTAAGGCTACTTCTCCCAAAAAGATGGGCTCTGAAGTAGAAAACAGTAGAAGGAATCAAATTCTAAACTAACCCTAAAGGGCTAAAATCTACAGGGGATGTTTCAAGTTTATAGTAACCAGTCATTAACCTGAGAACCATAAAAGGAATATTAAATATAGTATCAAAATGGCTCCTTTCCACCATGACTGATAAACGTTAATTCTAGGTGGTGCTTTCTGCTCTGCCAGGACAACCACTGAAATTGGAATTTCTTTAACCAAGCCATCACCTAGGTTCAACTTTTTAAGTAGAAGATAGGTTATCTATCTAGAGATCACAGAAGATCTTAAGTTATGTACTTGAGTGATATGAAACTAAGTAGCATGGCGGTGAATTTGTATGTAGTAATCAACTGACCAGAATGACTGTAGTTATTGCTTTTCTGGATTTGATTCTTTCCCCAGTGGAGGTTTTTATGGATGTTCTCAAACGAAACCAGAGCTGGGCATAGCTGAATTTCAGTGACCCAAACAGTTGTTACCTGTGTTTGGCAACTTAACTTTAGAGCCTGGCTATAAGCTTTTTAGTGCTAATACTTGCCTAAAAATGAATGGGAAGGGGGCAGCAGGAGTGAGCAGCTGTTCCTTTCTTCAGACTTAGGGTATGTCTACACCACCTGGCGTGCAGCAATTGATCCAGCGGGGGCCGATTTATCGTGTCGAGACAGACGCGATAAATCGACACACCACCACCACCACCACCACCCCCCACACGCTCTCCTGTCGACTCTGCCTGCACCTCTCACGGTGGTGGAGTATAGGCGTCAACAGGGGAGCATCAGTAGTCGACTCACCACGGTGGCTTCACTGCCGTGAGTGGGTCTAAGTGTGTCAACTTCAGCTACATGAATAATGCAGCTAAAGTTGCGTAACTTAGATCGGTTCCCCCCCAAGTGTAGACCAGGCCTTAGACTGGGATTTTCCTGAGGCGCACATGTCTTGCCCCAGACACACAGTCCATTGATTGACAGTGATTCAGTCTTGCCCAGGTACAGTGCAGTTCCAAGTGCATTCTTCAGTCTAGGTTGAAATAGAAGTGCTGAGGCTTCTAATTCCCTTAAATTATTCGGTGATGGGGGGGAAATTTGAGTGATCTCTAACTCCAGTTGAAACTTCCCTTTGGCTCAATCCTGTTCTTGTACTACCTTGTATCTTTACCACTCTAAACTTCCACTTTAAATATTCAGTAATTTGTATCATCTCCTTTGCTTATTTAGAAAAGTCTCTCTCCAATTAAGTTCTGTTGCTCTTCTCAGCACCTTCATATTTGTCATTCTGGTAACAAGGAGCCTAGTACCAAATATAGTATTCCAGGGAGACTCTAAAGCTACATGACAGCTCTCTGCTAGTAGGAACTTTAGTCTCCATACTAATATTACTTCCTTGATACAGGCCAGTCACCAAAATCTAGTCAAGGATGGACCTTCTGTACACAAGATTATTGCACTACTAGCTCTGTTATCAAGGTGCTAGTAGAAGCTCTCCATTAAATAGACTGTATCCTTCTTTAATGCCTAGAGCTTATAGGTAAGACTGCATCATCTTAACTAGCATTTTATCCCACTTTCTAAATCCTGAACTAAGACCAGGCAACTTGACACCCAGTCTAGCTGCTTCTGTTCTTTTGTTGTAGTTGCTCTGTTTTGGACTCTTACTTTAAAAAAAAAAAATACGAATTCTATACCTATCAGAGAATGAGACAAGGTAGGTAGAGATCTTTTATTGGGCCAACTTCTGTTGGTGGAATTACAAGCTTTTGAGCTAAACAGAGCTCTTCAGGTCTAGGGAAGGAAGCAGTGTGTCTGAGTACTGTATTGGAGAATGTCAGACATGGTACACTGACAATTATCTATTGCACAATCATAGTCCAATTAAAAATACTAAGCTATTACTACCAAGCATCTGGTGCCTTGGTTCACATTATCCAATAGAACTGTTCATAAAACAATGTCTCTCTCAATCTTTTTATCTCAAATTGGGATGGAAAAATCAAAATAGCAAAAACAGTGAAACAAATTTAGACTACTCATTTTAAAAAATCCGTTTGAAGTGGTGTTTGATCAGTCTTTTCCCTGTGGAAGACTAACAAAAGCACACTTTCTAATGGGGATGCTCTTCAACCTGCTATATCCAGTGTTCTATTTGTTTAGTTTGTGCTTGCATTCAGATTCTTTGAGTAAGGAGAAATGCCTTGCTTCCAGAGAAGATTATACAAGCCATCAATTTATTAAACAAGTACTTGTTGAAGCATAAACAACTTTCTCTTTTGTTTAGCTCCAAAACCTGGGAATTAACCCAGCGAACATTGGATTCAGCACCCTAACAATGGAATCTGATAAATTCATCTGCATCAGAGAGAAAGTAGGGGAACAAGCACAGGTCGTGATAATTGATATGAGTGATCCAACTACACCCATCAGACGTCCAATTTCTGCAGAAAGTGCCATCATGAATCCTGCTTCTAAAGTCATTGCTCTGAAAGGTGAGTTGATGCTGTTTTCAGTAATATCTAACATGCAACCAAACATGGCAACTTTCAGCCAAAAGGCAGTTCTGAGTCTGTAGTGAACCTTAGTTTTATGCAGGACTTGAGTTTCTCATAAGTTTTTTGACTGTATGGTCTTGGTTATAGTATCCACTCGGTCTTGGATTTAAGAGGTTGAGCTAAGCTTGTGTACACAGAGTGGTAGTAAGCCAAACCCCTGTAGAAATGTATGACTGCATTCCATCCTGAAACTGGGAGGGCATTGGATATGGAGAGTCCATAAACTTTGGACTCTCCTACTTAAACAAATTTGCTGAAAAGGTCTTTTCAAAAACCTAAGTGCCAAGACCAGCGTGCTGAGTGAACTTTGCAGAATATGTATAGAGAACACATCAGACTACTGTTGCAGGGTAACAGATGTGAGAATGAAGGCCACTGTACAGCTTTTTAAAATGTAATCTAAGTCTAAATGTGTATTAATGTCCTTAACCTCAAAATACCAGATACATTTTTAAGTATCTGGAAAGATGTTAATGTTAAAATCAGATAAGGACAGCCAGTAGCTTATTGTAAGCTGAAATACTTGTCTAAATAGACATTTTATACTTAAAAGTTGGCAGAAGTCACAGACTTAAAGTGGAAATTTGTCTCTGGTGCTAAAACTTTTGAATGCAGAATATATAATAAACACTTGGAAAAGGGGTTTTTGTGATTAACTTTAAGCTAGTTAAGTTGCTTTTGGCTTTCTGGGTACCACTTCATGAGCTACTGGAGCACCATGGAATAAAGACTTCCCAGCCTTTCAGAAAAGCAGAATAACTTGCAAGCTAGTTGTTTAATCTTTGAAATTAAATGCTTCACTCTGTTACTGACTGTGTACTTTTCTTCCTGCATTCTTGTCTTAAACAGATGGTGAGTTAACTTGTCCTGACATTTCATGTTTTAGTGGTACAAAATGGTCTAATCTCATAAAAAGTACTGAAATATTTACCAATTGCCATTTGCTATCCTTTTTTACTTTACAGCTAATTGGGAATTTGAATCCTCAACTTAGTAACCGCAGAGGGAAGAAAACCTTCTCCCTTTTATTGATGTGCCATTTACCATTTGGTTGCTTTGACTATTGACTGTACCAACTAAAGACAATATTAATATATGCAATTATAGTACAGTTGATAGACAAAACTGAGTCGCAATACTTTTATGAGAGACCTTTGCTAGCATGACGTCTTGTGTGCCAGTCATTTCTGCCTAAGTGTGCTATGTAGTCTGAAAAGTCATGGTGATATTATCTAGGGGTCCAAGAAATCTGTCTAAAATTCAGTTTTGAAAACTGGAATAGGTTCTCTGTTTTCTACCAGCCTAGACTTGAGGTCAAGGCTGTTTTTTAAAGCAAATAAACAGTCAATGTTTTGATTCCAACTCAAATTGTATTTCAGCTGTTGCATTTCCTTCAGACTACTGTGAACAGCCTCCATGTATGAGAGGTGGGCAGAGGTGCTGAACAATACACTTAATCTCTTAATTGGTATTCCCCTGAGGTTCGGTACCACATTGATTGGCATCCACTCGCCTTAATCCTAGTCTTGGACCCCTGTAAAGCAACCTGTTGGCAAGGAAAGTGCATCCTGTGTACTAGTAAAACTTCATCCAGCACTTAAATGGAAATCAGCCTGCCCTGATCTGAAACTAACCTACTAACTATAAAATGGGTTTAGTGTCATCCAGCCTCTAACAATCTAGATTTATTTTTACCAACATTAGACTTGGTCAAAGGCAATATTGTCCTGCTACTGCAGTGTGAATGAGCTAATGTAGTCTTCCGAGAGATGTCATTAGACAATGTGTGATGTCAGAGTGCTAAATAAAAATGTTTGTCAAGGTCCCACAAACCTGTGGGGTGACACGGGAGATACAGTATCTCCAGAATGGATGTGGGTGAAAGGGGGCGGGGGGGCAAGGGGTGTTTAAAGACCAGGGATACTGTCACTTGCTTAGCTATCTTTGGACTATGGTACATAAACTATGGAATTGCAACAATATGACTTTCTTTCATAAAAATCCAGTTTCCCAAAAATGTAGACTAGATCAGACTTTCTCTAGCATTTAATACTTTGCTCCCTGACTAAAGGGTAGAGCAAGCCAAACTTTCCCTGCTGATGGATTGTGAAGACAGCAGTCTAAGCTGTTACATACCGTACCTTTTTTATAAAAGTATGCACCATGACTGAGTTGCTCACTAATGCTCAAATTATGAGCAACAGAATGTACAATCTCAATCTCCAATGGGAAACGAAATATTTCTAAAATTAGCAACTACTATGGGGTGTGGTATAAATGCATAAAAATTGCATTTCTGGATTGCATGTAGCATTCCCCTAGTGTTCTAAGTATGACACTTTTTTTGTCTTTGTATCCATGTATTTCTTTCTCTTGCTATGTTCTGTACCACAAAAGCACAAAACAAGTGGGGAATGCAGTTTTTTCAGACCGCATTTCCATACATTAATCATGGGAATGTAAAAATGCAATTTCATGCTCTGGTCTTACAGAAATGTACATTCTTCTCTCTAGTAGAGAGGACTTTTCCTATAAGTAGACTAAGGAAATTCAGACTTGCATTGACAGGGCAACTGAATGCCGGTGGGTTTTTTTTTTTAGTCACTTAATGTTTAAAACTTGAGTTTGGGCCTAATCCTTTTGAGGATACTATCTGTTGCAAGTCTTGGACAAGTAAGCTAATGAGAGATTGGGGTAGAAGAGCAAAAATCTTGTGACACTTGCCTCTATCCTAACTCCTTATAACAGAACGTTAACCATTCCAATAAATGTTACTTGGATAATTAGATGAAAACTATAACACCATACTACAACTTGCCCCTGAATGCAGTGCTGGATATAAGAAGAGAAGGCTCTCCTAAACAAGTCTGTTACCCAGTGATTAGGGTCTGTAAAATTCAGACCTAGAGTATAGTTTCCTTTCATTTTAAGATATACCATGATTGCCACTGCTCATTTTGTCCATTAGATCAGGGATCATTTAGCTGAGTATTCTGCACTTCTAAAACAAGTACTTTTTCAAATGTTAGAGCACAGTAGTTAGAATTGCTTCTAGACGTAGACATTGAATATGCACTTTAGGCATAGCTGATCCAGATCCTCCATTCTGAAATAGTGATGCCAGGATGACTTGAGCTGGAAACTTAAAAGCCCAGAAGACAGTCTGGGTGTCCTTCCTTTATATACATGATACATAAAGACACTCTGATCAAAATTAGCTTGCCTTAATCCTGCTAATATCTTCATTTGAGGCTATAGCAATTCATAAATCTCTGTAGCCCTCCTAAATGTGAAACTAAAGTTTCCAGAGGAGGCTGGTGAGAGTAGGATGCTTTCATAATCACTTAGCAGCTTCTGCCAGAGGAGGTCTCTAACCTACATAGACAGAAGATAATGTAGCCGTGTTCTGCTTCTTGAAGTCTTTGTAATCATATGGCGTCTGATACCTTCAGTGATATAGTGACTTATGCTAACTCCGTCTTAGTGTCATGTGTAGGGCTTTTAGTATGTAGCTATGCAGAAGACTTTGAAACAAATCTTTAAGCTTTATAGTGTAAAGTTAGGGCAAGTCTTTCTGGGTAATTCCTTGTTTGAAAGAAGATTGTCCAATACCTTCCCTTCTAGATGGTTAGGGGTGCTTTGTCAATTTATAAGCTGCCATTTGGATAATGTGTCTTCTGGAATCGTCTGAGTTTCTGCTTCATTAAAGGGAAACCCACTTTACCCTTTTTGGGAAAAATAACTAACTCAACCAGTTATTAGGACTATCCAGGAACTAGCAGTTATAATTTATCTGGTATTCTGTTCCCGAGAGACCCACATTCATGCAATAGTCATATCTTAGACAATGCTGTCTTGGCTCCAGGCTGCAGTTTACGCTTTTCGCACCCCACATATAAAAGGAAAATCTCTCTTTAAATTACTGTTTAATTGCTGCCTACTAGCTAATATCCTAGTTAAATATTACTAACCCTCTTATTGGAATGGGAATCAGCTTGCAGCTCCATAATCATATCTAACCACCGCAAGTCAGGCTAGGCCATTAAGAATTAAAACAATGTGAAATTAATTCTCATCTCCTTTCATCCAAGAGAAAGAAGTTAAAACTAAGCTTACAGGGCTTCTGCATGGAAGGTAGCAAGGCATTTTCATAAAAATCTAAGCCCCTCCCCATCTATTTAGCATGGTAGATTCATCCCTGGAAATCTTGAACCCTAAACTGGCAATGGTTTTTTTGTTGTTCTTGCTTGGTGGAAGCTAAAACATTTGCACTCTAAACTGCTAATTGCAGCCCATCCAACTATTGTGCTTTCTAAGACCTGGTCTACACTGTGGGGGGATCAATCTAAGTTACACAACTTCAGCTATGTGAATAACATACTTACCACAATGTCTTCACTGTGGTAGGTCGACTGCTGATTTCACCTATGCTTCCCACTCAAGTGGAGTACTGGAGTTGATGGGAGACGTGCTCGGTGGTCAATTTATCGCATCTTCCCTAGACGTGATAAATCAACCCCTGGAGTGATCAATCGCTCCAGAGGTATGAGTAGACATGCCCTTACAAACAGATACTTTTACAGAGCCAGATCTGCTCCATAAACAAGGGACAATGTAAGTGACTACGGAACCTGTAACTTTTCCTTTAAAGTGGGAATATGGGCAGACACTAGTGTAGTATACAAGTTGGAGGAACTGGGTATATTTAATTAGACCATTTAAATGGCACATGGAGAGCCTGCCTCGCTTGTCTTAAAGTAAGATTCCTTTGAAGCAGATGTTAGGTTCTGACACTACTGTAAACTTTGAACTTTCCAAATGTGAGCTAATAAATACCAAAATAAGCAGAGGCATGCTGATTGGAATACTGTACATACTTTCACTAGAGATTATGAAGTATGACCTATATCTTTGATCTCTAACTTCACTATTGAACCACTTATCAAGGTAGTCAGCTTGATATGCCAGTGCTACTTGCTCACTGATTATTATACCACACTCAAAAGGATATATGCACACATAAAGGGGTGTAACTTCGTATCTGTGTAGCTGTAGGCACTTGACTATAGTTTAATCTTGATGAGGCAGTGACTTGCTGTAAAGTGTTATCGGATCAGCCTAGTCTTACTTCATAAGTCAGGACTTGTCTGTCTCCATTGACTCACTTCTCTAGGACTCAGTAAAGAGGAAACTTATATTTAAAACATGTTGCCATAAAGTGTTCATTGCCTGTGCAGAAATTAATGTTACATCTGTGTGGTGCAGCATCTGTTACAAGATCATTGAAATGGCCTAAGCTGTAGCTGAAGTCATTCTGTTAAGTTGCCATAGTTTTGCCCTATCTTTATTCTACTCATCTTTATTGGAATGTTTAAACTGGAAAACTAGCTTATTGCAGCTAAACATTCTAAACATGCCTCCCAATACATGCAAATTATAGGGCTGAGTATAATTTAATGTCCAGAGGTCTGTGATTCTTTTGTATCTCCCACACCAGCAGGGAAGACACTTCAGATCTTTAACATTGAGATGAAAAGTAAAATGAAAGCCCATACTATGGCAGAGGAAGTGATCTTCTGGAAGTGGATATCGGTAAACACAGTTGCCTTGGTGACAGAGACAGCAGTCTTTCATTGGAGCATGGAGGGAGAATCTCAGCCCCAAAAGATGTTTGACAGGCATGCTAGTCTTGCAGGCTGCCAAATCATCAACTACAGGACAGATGAACACCAAAAATGGCTACTCCTAATAGGAATTTCAGCCCAGGTAAGGGACTCTTCAGAATAGTATACAGGAAAAGTGCATTATGAATACAGGTATAAATCTGAACTGTGCAGGAAAATAGGTCAAAATTGGAACAAGCACTTGTTTTCATTTCATACTGACTGTAGTTCTTCCTGTTTAACAAAACTTAAACCTTATTTCAAGAGTGTTCTGCAGTAGGTGGGAGACCTTTTTCCAGAAGAATGTTTTCCAGCCTTTCCTTTCAGAAGGGTGTACAGCATAGTAAAAAAATTTGTTTTTGCTTCTCTGTTCTGAAAGTGTTAATGGTTCAATTCCTATGCTCTTGATGCATATGCAACTCTTAAGTACTTAGAAAAAAAATTTAAGCTGACTTCTCCTTCTCCCTCTTCCCCTCTCTCCCCCGCCCATATCATTAGCAAAATCGTGTGGTTGGTGCAATGCAGTTGTACTCAGTTGATAGGAAGGTTTCCCAACCTATAGAGGGTCATGCAGCAGCCTTTGCAGAATTCAAAATTGAAGGAAACTCCAAGCCTTCCACGCTCTTCTGTTTTGCTGTACGGAGCCCTGCAGGAGGCAAGGTAAAATTTATAAACCATACTGACTACTTTCAAGCTAACGTAAATTATCAGTAACCTTAAATCTTTCAGTTACCACTAGAAGCTTTATAAATTAAGACCAGTTGTTAAATACTTCTAATTGTGTTAATTTAATGCAATTGACTTCAGTAGGGTTGCACTGATTAAATTAAACAAAGTTGACCCCTTGTTTTTGAGGAATGGTGGCTGTAAAAAAAGTGGGTGCTGTTTGTTCAGTCAAGGCTTTCCCATCCCTAAGTGGCCCCCTCAAGGATTGAACTCACAACCCTGGGTTTAGCAGGCCCATGCCCAAACCACTGAGCTATCCCTCCCCCCCTTTTTACTGTGAAGTAATCTTCTGCCTTTTTTTTAAGGAACTTCATAAAACTAATGTAAATATTGAAGGCAGTGAAATACCTGAGTCTAAAGGTGCCTTGACTCTCAATCTGAATAAAGCTCTCACATCTTGTAGCATGGTTCTCAGCTGAACAAGCTCACTCTGCCTCTTGTAGGCCTTAAATTGATGGCAATTATAATATAGCAGCCTTGTTGAAAAGTTAAAGCCTAACTGAGTCTCAAGTATTGACTCTGAAGAAGTTAGATTCTTGTGCCTTAAATTTTAAAAGTTGATGGAGTTCTGATCAAACGTTCTAAAAGATCACAAAATACAATGTGCCACACGTGCTAAGCTGCCCTGTAATGTGGAGAATAACTACTTGAGTTTAATGGGCTGAATAATATTTCAATAGCTTCTTACAAGATGCAACATCCCTGGAAAGACCAAACACAATTTTTTTGGACTAAAATCTTGACAACTAGTCCATGGCAAACCTTTTGCTCTTATATTGAACTGTTCAAGATTTGAGTACATCTGAAACTGCCTAATCCAAGAGATGGCAGCGATGGTGTCTTAGAACAAGGCTGGCACTTTTTTAATGTGTCTGGGAAGTGCTTTATGACTAATGATTTGGAAAGTGAGAAATGGGTTTTATCAAAAGCACAGAGGTTCTCTCCCGCTTTAAGAGTTTTTATTAAAACAAGCATCTTGGACAACTCTTAAGTTCTAGAATAATGAATATTGGCTGAAAAGCTTCATGGGTAAGTTGCATAAAAGGTATTGAAATAGCTAATTGCCTGGTTTGTAGCCTGTTTGGGAAGCATTGGTTGGACAGAGGATCAACTTGTTTCTTAGCAGGATTTTGCTTACAAACTTTGTCTTGGTGACATGCAATTCCTTCTTCCCAGCTGCATATAATAGAAGTAGGTCAACCTGCTACTGGAAACCAGCCCTTTGTAAAGAAAGCTGTTGATGTGTTTTTCCCTCCTGAGGCTCAGACAGACTTCCCTGTGGCAATGCAGGTAAGGTATACAAGAGTGCACACTAAACCCATGTAAAGCTGCTCATGAACTGGTCAACATAGGCATGTATAATAGCATTTCACATACCTCTGTGGTGGAGGATATGTGGATGTAATATGTATATGGCACATCTCTGAATAGAATCCTAGAATAAGTGACCTCTGTTCTTATTCCTCGTCCAAGAAGATGCATTCACTTCAGGCCATGTTTTCAGTGGTGATATCTACTTTTTTTATGTAGACTTGCACATAGAGACAGCTGATTAAAAAATACCAACACTTTTTTCATGGGGAATTCAAAGTTTGGGGCATTTGAAAGCCAAAACAGTCTCCTAAAAACAAGAGAATTTGGACCAAAATGAGAACTGACTTTGACCAAACACTCTTGATGATAAAGATTTTTTTGGCTAAAATTTCAGTCTGTGTGGAAAATCTAATTCTCCATTTTATGAACTGAGTCCTTTAGGAATCCATAAACCTCACTTTAAATAGTATCAGTCAGAGCCTTCCCTGTAAAGAGTGACTTCACCATTGCTTCGTAGATGTTGCTGTCAAATCAGCCATGGATTTTATTCTTCCATAACACAACCAATGCTGGAAGCATAGCTCACTCTAAAGGTAGAGATCTGAAGTGTAGCACGGGGAAGACCACCCCACATAGGTGATACGTCTCAAATTTAGTACTCCAAAACTGCTTCCAACCCACTTCTGTAAAAATTGAACTAGCAATAAAAAGCACTTCACTGGATACAAAAACTCAAGTTGCTGTTACACATGAGCATTTTATTTCAGAAATTCTCCTACCTGTCCAAATACAAACATACTATTAGTCTGTTGAAATGAGCTGTAGTTTTGTGATTTGGGGATAGAGCTGGGAATAAGAACTGCAGAAGCCTAATTCTGGCTCTGACAGACTTTCTCCTTGATCGCATCATGTCTCCCCCATCATGATTTGAGAACTTGCATAAGGGGAGTCAGTCATCTTTTGACCAGATTTGCAAAGTATAGTGGAAAACTACATATGTTCAGAGGCAAAAATGCTAAAATAACATCTTTGGCTGTCATGGATGTGAAATTGCTAGCTAGCATAGTAGTCCAATTTTAGCAGAAGATACTTGTTTAATTTCAGATGACTAGCTATAGTGAGCAATTTTGACTCTGATCTTGGGTAACAATAGACAGCTGCCTCTTGACCTAATAGTATCAGTGGATTAAAAAATTTCACAAGCAGTTGTATACTGGTGACTACTTCCAGTTGAGGCTTTCAGTCATAAAGCCATCTCTCAACACCACTACTTGACATGTCTCAAAGTGAGACTTGCATAATTTTACAACTACATTTGACATTTTTAGGTTAGTTGACTGACTTCTCTAGCTATTCCAATCTGGCTGGCCTTCCTAGAAAAAAACGGGATTGTAGCACTAGTTTTCATGTTAACTGAAGCTCTTAATTCTAGCTTGTATAATCAACATCCTAGCTTAGCCATGCATGGGATATCTTAACTTCTACCCTGGAGACCAATGTCTTGTCTTCTGCCTGCCACTAGTATGGAATTACAGCTCTGTAAGTGACCAACAGGATTGTTACACTCCTTCCTTGCAACCTGAGAGCTTACAGCTGCATCTTCACCTTTTGCCAACTAAACCATGTAGTGAGAATATTCTCCTGCTACACAGCACTGCCTTAAGTTTCTAGTAGCTTGTATTTTGACAGTTCACTTAAACTATATTCAAATGTTCCTAATTGTCTTTCCCTTTTGGCAGATTGGAACTAAGCATGGTGTTATCTACCTGATTACGAAGTATGGATACATTCACATGTATGACTTGGAATCTGGAGTGTGTATTTACATGAACCGTATTAGTGCTGACACAATCTTTGTAACTGCTCCTCATGAACCTTCCTCTGGCATTATTGGTGTGAATAAAAAAGGACAGGTAAATTGAGTCCTGTCTACTCTTGAGCCTCTGAGTATAGGAATACCCTAGTGACTTTTGCACAGGACAGCTAAAGGCACAGTCAGTACCACTATCTAATCAAGAGTACCATACTACTTTAGATAACAAGATCTCAGACCTTTGATTTACACTGCCACAACTGTACAGGAAAAAGTGTGCAGTAATGTTTTGTAGTGTAAGGAGGAACACACAGGAGAACATTCTGTTCCCACAACTCCTTACTGAACTTGGGCGAACTGTTTTGAGCAAAATTGTTTTACAAGACAACTATAGTGCATATGGCAGACAGCTCAAGGTTGTCATGGTTTGTTCATTGTTATTTAGTGAATGCAATGCCTGGCTTCCCTGTATCTGGCCACATATTTTCTTGCAGTGGTTTGACAATAACTTCTCAGCCTTCCTCTCCTTTTAGTCTAATGGGAAATGGCAAGGAAATGTGCTGTGACTTGACTGTATTTAGACCATGTAGAAAATTGTTACCACAATCCAAGACACTCAGCATGCCAACTTTCAACACTAGCATGTACTTGGAATGGAAAAGTTCCTTTTAATGTGCAAAAGGTGTGCCACTGAATAGCTGCTTAGAGAACATGCATCTCCAGACTTATGATGTAAAACTTCTCTTAATTAAATCTTAGTGGAAATCTAGCACCTGAAACGGTTTTAACGCTTATTTGCCACCTATAATGTTGCTGATTATTGGATATATTAAGGTATGCCAGCAATGCATACCTCAAAGTGAGCCATCAGACACTCAGCAAACTTCAGATTAGCATTACCTACTGCAGTGTGTAATACTAGAGGCCTCGGCCCAATTGTGATGGGCACTGTACAAACATAACAGATGGCCCTTTCCTCAAAGAGCTTATATAGCCTTAAGGCATACAAAACTTTAGAATAGTAGGAAGAAACAATGTGGTGAAATTGCCCTCAGTTATAGGTTGCACTTTTAGACAATGGGTAGACTGACAAGCTGAGTTCTAAGACCCAAAACAACAGCAATAGAGGAACTATAGCTTTATCTACGTTTACTGATGAGCTTCTTGGACTCTTAATTCCTTTGCTCTATTACTTTGAGCTGCTGTTTTCAGCAGGATGCTCCTGTTAAGGCTTTTTTATCCTTTCCAGGTGCTTTCAGTTTGTGTTGAAGAAGATAACATTGTGAACTATGCTACGAACGTTCTCCAGAATCCAGACCTGGGTCTGCGTATGGCTATCCGCAGTAACCTGGCTGGGGCCGAGGAACTGTTTGCCAGAAAGTTCAATACACTCTTTGCACAAGGAAGCTATGCAGAAGCTGCTAAAGTGGCAGCATCTGCACCAAAGGTGAGTGCTTTCAAAGATGAAGACTAAGGGTTTAAGGTGATGCTTATTCTAACATCCTAAATACACAACTAACTCTGCCACTTGGCAGTTACTGCACTTTCAGTCAAATGTCTTTATCTTAACCAAATTATCATCTTTGAGTTAAACTTGATGTACAAAGAGTAAACTAGTAAAGATATGTTTCTGGTTGAAGAATCTAGCTTGTTGTGGACCCTACAGAAGAGGAATAGCTTTTCACTAACAGCTACATTCTAGGTTGGGCATAGTATACAGAGAAGAGCACAATTAAAAGCTGCTCTTGTTGTTGGATCAAAGAACTGATTGCAAATTAAAAATACCCAACACATCGGCATGTTTTGAGTTGGCTACTACACAAATAGTTTAGGTACCGAAAAAGGCAAGGATTATTCAAATTGATGTAACTGAAACCTTTTTTTAAAATCTTGGGTCTCTTCCCCTTCCCGGTATCTTTCAGGGAATCCTGCGTACCAGTGATACTATCAGGAAGTTCCAGAGTGTACCAGCCCAGCCCGGGCAGGCCTCTCCCTTGCTGCAGTACTTTGGTATCTTGCTTGATCAAGGACAACTTAACAAATTTGAATCTTTAGAACTCTGCCGTCCTGTCCTGCAACAAGGGCGCAAGCAGCTCCTGGAGAAATGGCTGAAGGAAGATAAGGTAGGCAAATGTTTTTTGGTTAAACTTAATGCAGCAGTGTGTCTCTTATAGCAGTCTACTGGCACATGTTTATGTACTTAGTGGAGATGAACCAACTATCTGTCTCTTCTCTGTTCTGCCTGATCATCAAATGCTACTTCTGCTTTCAGCTGGAGTGCTCTGAGGAACTAGGAGACCTGGTGAAGACCGCTGATCCAACCCTTGCACTCAGTGTTTACCTTCGTGCTAATGTGCCAAACAAAGTCATTCAGTGCTTTGCAGAAACTGGTCAATTCCAGAAAATAGTGCTCTATGCCAAAAAGGTAAATGTTTTTGTTAAAGGTGTAAGATTGTGTAATACCTCTACTGCTAGACTCCCAGTACACATCTGTGTGCAGTACTCTAAGCTGTACATACTCTGGGTATCTTCCATGAGATAAGACAAGGCCTTAAACATTCCAGAGTCTGTAAAACTGATAATCAGTTGAGAGCTGCCTTGCTCAATTTTTCATGTCATGACACTCCTTTCTAAATGAACCATGATGCAGTTCTGTCCTGTGGCAGGACGAAGCATCAGCTTAGCCCACAAAGAATCTGAACTCACAAAACTCTCAATTTTGGAACACTGGAGAACGTGGTCTTAGACCAGCCATATAATGGAGACTGAACTTGATAGATAAGATCTGCAGTTTCACTTGTGTGGTCACAAATACAGTAACTTGTTCTTTGTCTCCCCACCTTAAACTTTGGACAGCAGTTGGTCTAAAGCATTCCCCACAAACTAGTCTTCAAGTGTAGAGACTGAGCATCTGCGTCTTCCCCAGCTGGAAACATAAGGCTAGTCTACACTGTTATATCTTAATTATCAGTGTATGTGGAAACTTTAAACTCACTATTTTCACAGCTTGGGATGGGATAGTCTTGTGTGAGTAGGTTGCATTGTGCTGGGAATAAATATGTCTGCAGCAGGCGTCCCTGTACTAAAGTATGAACTTGGGAGCAAAATCTTGTAAATTCCTAAGCATTTCCAGGGAGCTTTAACTGCTAAAATTGTGTAATTGTTCTAGGTTGGATATACGCCGGACTGGATCTTCTTGTTGAGAAGCGTGATGAGAGTCAGCCCAGAACAGGGACTACAGTTCTCTCAGATGTTGGTGCAGGATGAGGAGCCCCTGGCTAATATTAACCAGGTAAAAACTTGCAACTGGTAAGGACTTAGTTTAATGGACACGTAGTCCCAGCTGAAACTAATGATGTGTTTGTAAAATAAAGTCCAATCCAGTGAACTTTGCTATACTCCTAGTATTTGAATTAGCTTT